TATAACAGATATGAGGCACATGCTCTTACATCCATTTTCCTGTCTAGAAGCACCAAAGAATGCAACAGAACATTGAAAAAAGGCAACGTACCACACCACAGCCAAATATATCAACTTTTTCTGTTAACTGCCCATGTCTGATAAAATCTTCTGGCAGATAAGTAAGAGAAGCTTGTAGGACTTTGGTTTTCATCACAGCATATTCTGATTTTTTATCAACAGAATACAATCGCAGACCTGAATGTCCAAGCTTTGGTTTAAAGTTTTCATCCAACAAGACATTTGAGCTGTGATAAAGACAAATAGCAATATTGATTAAATAATTACTTTAACTTGAGGTACAGAATTACAGTTTTACCCTTTTAAAGTTATGCTGTGTATGAATGAAAGGAATGGTAGAAAGGGAGAACAAGCACTCCAAAAATTACTTCAGAAGAATATACTTCCATCATTTAGAAAAGAGAGGCAGATTAAACATGAAATGGTGCTCACCCTACAGAACAAGAGAGAGCAGAAAGATACTGCAAATGGATTTCAAAATTGTATAAGCTTTCGGCCATTATTGTTACAGAAATACTGGAACTAACAGGTGACCAAGGAAGTGCTGATATGCCAAACCCCTCACCTTTTGATATTCCCATGAAGAATTCCAAAATTATGTAAATACTCTACAGCTCGGATGAGTCCTATAGAAATGCTAATTCGCACCTCCCAGGTCAGTGGAACAGAATCATCCTGCAAGGAAGTGAGGAAAAAAATGGTATTTTATAGAATAAAAACCTGTAGGACAGTAGTAGGTTTGAAAGCCAAAGACTTGGTTCTTGTCCTATTAAAGTCCAAGGAAAACTCCTGCTGACCTAAATCAAAAGTTTGGTCCAAGGCAGAAACTGATGATTTCTAGGCCAAGGAAGGAACCTATTCGTATATATTGTGCTGCACATTTTGCCTGACATGGGACAGTGTGAGAGAAGGATACAGCAAAGATCATCCTTGTCCAAAGCAGCAAGTACTGGCCATTACTGAGGCATAGGCTGGTTTTGATGGATTGCTTTTGTGATGTTTCTCTGCCCTCTGATCTCCTCTGCAAATGCTCTTTTAGTGGGTGTGAACAACTCAAACTGTTCCCTCTTAAGCCTTGTAAACCTTCATAGCACATTATGCTAATGAAAATTATGATGGCTTCTACAGAAACCTGTTCCCAAATCCAGTGAACTATTGTAATATGCATAGACACATTTTGCGGGTTCCTTAGTACCTTAAAAATCTAAAGGCTGCACAGCAGAAACTTCCTGTTGACCTGATCTACTTCGCAGCAGAAAAACTGGAAAAGAGCTGCAGCCTTTCTAGTACTGGCAGTCAATATATTTGGGCACTTTTTTTTTGGTCTGTTTCTCAGAATTCAAAGAGATACAATTGCTTTTCATACAATAACAGGACAGGACTTGTAATCACAGATAGATAACAGGCCCAGATTATGTGCTTACTTGACAATGAAGTTTGTTTTGTAGTGATCCATTAGGCAGGTACGGATATATCAAACAGTGTAATCCAGTTTCCACTGAGAAACCCAGCAGCTGCAAAATGTTGACATGACAACACCTGCAGGCACAGATCAGCAATGACTTGCAAATGAAATAAGAGCAAGACAGAAAAACACATTCCTGAGATGGAATAAATTCCTAAACTTAAGGCAATTGGGAATTGTATCCTGCAGCTGGAAGCACAGAATGGCCCTGAGCAGGATCACAGAAGTCTAACTAACCTAGCAGCAAAGACAGAGATCATTGTAGCGCAGCCCCATTCTGAGCAAGTAGGAGGGATAGAAAGCTCCAGAACCATCTCAGGGACTGGCAGAGCAGCTGCGTTTGCTCAGCAGGGAGGCATGCTGCTTCCCAGGGCTCCTGCAAAGGCAGCGAATAACCCCAGTGCCTGGGAGACAGACACATCAGTCTTCAACTAAACACATGGGCAACAGGCTGCGTGCAGGATACGCACAGCCTGTGTTTGAAAGCCAGACACTTACCGAAAGCAAATCTGTACTTCAGTATGAAAGAATCTTTGGGTGGAATCTGTGCTCGTGCATTCCGTCTGAAGAATGAAAACATGCAATAGAACATCAATAGTGATTATTAAGATGTTGCATTTATTATACAGATCTTTTGGTCTCTAGATGACAAACTGCTTTGGAAAATAGGCAGGTATCACTGATGACAACTTTGTGTCAAAGCAACAATTAATTGCAAATTAGAACAAAAAACTGTGTAAAGACACCTCTGATCCAAACATCAATGCAGGTAGCTACTCCCCTGGACTGAGTTTATAAAACTACTCACATGAGTAAAGTATCTCTCCTATGTGTTTGCTGAATCTAGGTTTACTTACATTACATAATTTCCTTTTTGCCTCTCCTCTTGTGTAGCTGTTCTGGTTCCTTGCCATACAATAGTAAAGAACAACTGCTAATGTTCTAGAGATTCTAATACTGTACCCTCTTCAAAGAAAAAGAAATGGTGGAGTACTTGCCTCTTTCAGTCTTTTGATGATATACACCATGTTGTTCCTCTGACCTTTGTAGACATCCGCAAAAGTACCTTCACAAAGTCTACTCTTGTCACTGAAACCATTTGTGGCATTAGTAACTTCCCTCTGGGTCCACAAAAGACTCCCGCTGGGGAGATCAGTCAATGTCTCCTGCTGAGGACTAGACGAGCTGCAAGGCTACACATTTGTAGAATAAACAAGTTTATCTCATGAAAGTTCACATGCTTTTTTGTTCTTTCAGGTGTCCTATTTTCTTTTCCATGATTTAAGCCATCACTGTGATTGCTGAAAGAAATTGTGAAAGGTACTGTGCAATCACTCATTAAGGTTTCCCTTTGTAATATCTGTCTTGATGTGTTTTGCTGATGTAAATATTTTGCATAGAAGAAGAGACTTGAAAACAGTTAACCAACGTGCATTTCCACCTTTCCCAGAAAACGGACCTGGTTTTGTTTAAAAGTCTGTATATTTATTTGAAGTTATGTTAGTTTAAGCTACAAAAACCATTAATCTTTATGGCTGGGGCATATATTGAGAAACAGTTGGATCAGAAAGTACAGTCCTTCATAATCATAGAATCATTAAGGTTGGAAAAGACCTCAAGGATCACCAAGTCCAACCATCAACCCACACCACCTAACCCACTAAACCATGTCCCTAAGCACCACATAATGTATTTATGTTCTGGTAGGAAGTTCACGTCTACTTCTGAAGTATCTGGCGTCAGTTGCAAAATAATTTGTTGCTTCCAGTGTGGCAAGTCCTAATGCCAATTGTTATTACAGTTCCACTGTAGCCTAATCATGCAGCTTTCACAACCTTATGTGCTCCAGACTTGAAAAACAAAACAACTCCCTCTCTAGAAACTCTGAAACTACTGCATTCTTTGTAGCAATCTTCTGTTCTGGCTGGCACTCTTGAACCATGTTATTCTGGGAGACTTTAAAGTTTTAAACCACAATCTTCTTTAAAAAAAAATCAAACCAAATAAGCCAAAGGAAACAGGCCAAGACAACCATGATGGGACCAGAGCGTGCACGTGGATCTGGGAAACACTCTGAGAACCCACAGGACAGATGTAGCTAGAATATCTTAAAGACAAGAGAGCTACAGGGAGGAAGGAACAGGAGCCTGTGCTGAAATCATTAGGAACATGAGAAAAACTTTTCACAGGGAGATGGTTAAGCACTGGAACTAGAGCTCAGAGAGGTGATCGAACCTCCATCCCTGGACATTTTAAATTGTCGGCTATACAAGGCTCTGGGCAACCTGACTTAAATTTGATATGAGCCCAGTTTGGAGCAGAAACCACATGTTAAGTATAAAAGTAAACTAAACTAAGTATGCCATTGTGACTAGTCAGTAGTATATATTGAACTGTCCTGTGATCACACCAGAAACGTTAAGTCCTCTGTAAAATCTATACTGGAAATTCTTTCAGAATTTATTGCTATTTGTGGGCATGGTATCCATCCTGAGCTGTGCAGTATGCAATATTGTTAATTCTTCCCCTCACTGGTCCTCCACTGGCAGACAAGTGATTTCTAACTGCAGCTTTACTGTTACATTCAGTCCAAACGAATTGTAATCAAGCCCCACTTTTTCACTAGATCTAAATTCTATGCAAGTAGAGGGATAAACTTTAATGGAAAAAACCACAGAAAGTCAAAGGCAATTTTCATTGTTATCATAAATGAGTACTGAAGGGATTTACCTTCACACTTGATGAGACAGGAGGATTTGACTGCAAGGATTTCAGAAGGTCTCTTGGGGGAGGTGGTGGTGGAGGGAGTGAATACAAGGATCCTTCAGAGACAGCACCGGAAACTGAAATAACAGCATTGAAAATACACCTTATTTTGGCAATACCACAGCCTGTGACTAATTAGGAAGGTCTGGGGTATTTTGTGTAATTTCCTAACCAGGGATAACCTATGACAAGCTGTCCAAATGTGAGATACTGTGTGAAGATAGGGAGCTATTTTCCTGGTTCCTCTTTGCGAGATGACTGCGCAGATCTCTCCAGCCCTGGCTCAGGGACACAGAGTTCCCTACGGCTATGCTGGCGGTCAGATGCTCTCCTCAGTACGAACTGTGGTTCTGCTCCCTCTCTTTCCCAGGCAGAGGGGCCTGCTGACGTGTGTGTGGCTCTCCTCTGGCCTGGATTTATTTTGCATGAAGAGAGGGACACGGGGCAGGAAATGTATGCACTGATCTAGTTTTAGTGTAGGACCAGGGTGTTCACAGAGACCTGGGAAACAGCTCAAGATCACACAGGACAGATCTAGCCAGCACCTCTCAAAGCCAAGAGAGCGATAGGAACAGGAGGCCCTGGGCTAAAGCTAGGAATAACCTCAACACACAACAGTGCTAGGAAAAAGGCAAATATTCAAATGTGACCACTTTGAAGAGCAATATATTCATTACATGATCCTGAAAGCCAATGGGCAGCAGTCTTGTCTATATGGTCATTTCAACGTTAAAGCAAATTCAGAATCTATTGCTTTACTTACTGCCTGCTGGTGATCCTCCCAGATGTGAAGAGTCTGGTGATGGCAATAGGCTTATCTCATTTTCTCTCTCTCTATTTTTGTTTTCTGTGGGAGTTGAAGAGACATTCTCCTGTTTAGGTGGCTTTACCAGCTCTTCTTTTTCAGAGCTGGTAATATTAGAGGCTGATGTCCCTTCAAAAAAGAACAAAGGGAAGATGAATATTACCAGGGAAAATAGAGTCTGGCTCTAATCAGTTATCAGGAAATAGTCCTAGTCAGGAAAACAGACTGTAAATTAACATGACCATTGAAATGAACATTCAAGCAATTTATTGTTAAATTGCTGGAATACTATCAGTATTTAAATTCAGACCATATTCATGACATTAACTACTCCTGAAAATAAGAAGTGATAGCATCAAACAAATACCAAGGCTGACTATGCAAAAGATACAGTCTCTTACAATAAGAAATCAGCAATAATAACATATTTATTTTGTTATTTTCTATATAGCATCCTTCAGCCAATGATCTCAAATCACAAATATCTCCCAGCCTAAAGAAAGCATCTAAAAGTTTGACAGGATTGTATTTAGTCAGTTTAATATTTCAGGATTATTTTCAGTTGTGTGGTTTTAGTGTCATGACCATGCTCATTCCCAGAAGACACTTTCCTGTGCAGAACTATTTGCAATGAAGAATCATACTTTTAATTATGAACAGAAAGAAGCAAACTGGAGAAAATCTAGGGGAAACATAAAAATGGTCAAAGATCAAGACCTACTGATATATAAGGAAAAATGAAAGGCTGAATTATTGATTCACTATAGCTCTAAAAGATCCTATGTTGTATACAGCTTGGCAAAATCTCGGAATCAGGCCTGAAAGAGCAACTTGAAGACTGGTTCAAAGAAGAATAATGATGCTTTCAGCGAACAGGGACTTGAAGAGTATGCATCTTACAGGCAATTATTAAAATCACATTAGGCTACAGTTAGGATGGGAAGAAGACAAAGTTAAAAAATTCAAGATACTGTGATATATATGAGGCTGTCAAAATCTCCCGAAGAAGCAACTGAATTCTTGTCCATGGATACATTTAGAACTGAGGTTGAAAAGGAGCTTGGAAATGCCCAGTGTGCACTAGGGGTGACATAAGGACTTTCTACTGCCTGATAACCATATTTTCCTTATTGTAGTTCTAAACTTTTGTTTCTACCTGGCACCTTTTATCAGACATACATTTAGCATTTTCTTAAAAATAAAAATCAATGGTTTATTTTTACACAAAAGCACAAGTATGAATACAAGGGTTTTTTTTTCACGCTGTGTTATCAGCTTTGTATCTTAAGCGTGGTGGTGATCTTGGAATCAAAAGCCACAAGCCTCTGTTTGCATTTGAAATCAGATTATAGCTTTGTGTTCTTTTTTTTTTTTTTTTTTTTTTTGTACAAACAAAGCATTGGGAGTTATCTGAAACAAGCAGGAAGCGGTATGTTTCATTTATAATCTGTGCTCCTTGTAATAAACCAAGATTCAGTAGAGCTCTTTAAGGGAAGACAAGCTATGACAGCTTCGGTGTACTAAGGGTTGAAGAGTAGGAGTATATGCAAAGCAATATTGGGAGAAGTGCGCATGTGAATGTCAGGCAACTTTTTTCCTTTGACCTCTGTTTGGGGTTTGTATCCACTTCAGCTGTCACCTATGAATGCAGGTTTGAATTAAACTAGGTCTTCAAATTAAAACTCAGAAAAATCAGGAATGTTTCTTTATTACTGTGTCTGAATGCTACGAAATCCCAAATTTTACAGGGTTTTGAAATCAGCTATCGAACAGTTTGCAGGCCCTTAGGCAAAACTGACAGTCCCTTTATTCTGCAGTTGTTGGCTTTTCCCTCCTGTACTTTAACCTAGATGTCTCTAAAATTAGAATCACTTCCCTCTTTCAACCTACTTTTTAGGGTTTTTCATTAATTTTGCAACTTCCTGCACATCAGACAAGCAGGTCACTACTGAAGCTAAAGAACTGACATAAGAAAAAAACTATTATTATGGACATTCAGAAGTGGGACTGCAGTAGTGCAAGAAATTGTTGAAGGGAGGTAGAACTCTCCTGGAAGTAATCTGCCAGCTAAAGCAAAACATCTCCTGTGTGTTGTGTCTGATTCCTTTAAGTCAGAATGAACAGAATTACGATGATGTAAGGAGCACCTAATTTTCTAAAGTGCCCAGTATAACAAGGAATGTATTCTCCGTATCTGCCCAAGAGGAATAACCTAAGTAGGCATACTCAGATATAAATAAAAAGCAGAAATAGAGAGTAGAGACTTCAAGATTTGTCCAAACCTAAAAAGATCCTGCTAGAAATCACTTCTGCTTATGACAGAGCACATGGCGGAATGCCAGCATTGGGTTAATTCCAGAAAAAAATAATGACTTCCACATGGCAGAAGAACAAAATAATATTTCTGCTGCTTAAATTAAGTTTTGCTATGGACTTCAGTACAAAAGACAACTATAAGAAGTTTTTTAAACAGATCCATTCATTGTAGTTTTGCAATTTATTGCATTTATATTCATCTGGGACAAAAATTAATATTGATCATCCAGAAACATAATAAAAATTGATCACACCACAGGATTTCTCTCTTCCATCCTATTTTAAACCCTCTTTGTCTGGCCTTCATATTGCTTTACAGGAATTCAGAGTCAAAACCAAAACTGCTGCTAACTCCTTATGAAGCCCTTCATGGAACAGTCCAATTTTGTGGTTCACCCATTGTCACAAAGGAAATCAGAGAAACAAAGGGATGTCAGATCTGTTACATCGGTTCAGTGTCTTAAGAAGCTGAATCGCGTATGTCCATTTCCTGCCATGATCTCTTAATATTTACTTTCCTTATTTCCTATCTACCCCACAGAAATCACTAAAGACCCCTGTTTACTTGCATCAGCCAACTACAAATCTTAGAAGCCCAGCTTTTCCCTATAAATCACAAAGTGTACTCCTCCAGCCTGGAGGAAGTCAGTTGGGTTTTATTTTTAAAAGGAGGAAAACCTTCAGGTTTTGCAGCTTATGGCAAGTGAAGTCCAAAGAGTCTCAGAAATGTTTCTGAGAAAGCAAAAAAAAAAAAAAAAAAAAAAAAAGAAAGGTAAATCTCACAGAAGCAAAAGAGAAAGTAGGTAACAGGCAATCCCCTCTTGTACCAGAGGCTGAAGTCAGGAGCATGTTGCGCAAGCTACAGTGATATTTGCCTACCACTTAAAATAAAACCAGCAAAACAGAAGGATGAGGAATGTTCCTGTGCAGTGAGGATGGGGATTTTTGTCTGTGTTGTATCTTTATTTTTAATGGCGATGTTGCTGGAAGCTGCTCTTGGATTGGAAACCTGATTCTCTGCATTTTCCATAATCAGAGAAACAAATCTTATTGGTTCTGGTGTAAGCAGAAACGCTGCCTCTCAGGATTTGATCCAGTGCCATATTCTGGCCTTTCAACACAGGACCAGGCCTAGAGATCAGAGATCCTCTGCACGGCCTCTGGGTTTACAGGGGCTTGTTTTACTCAATGTGTGGTGCACCTGCTGGCATCCAGCAACGTTGTGGTTTGCAAGCAATAGCTCTCTGAAATCAAATAAATGAAGCTTCTCTTGGAGTGATTCACCATTGCAATGTGCTGAGCTAATCTCAGTTTGAAATCGACTCATGTTCTTGTTTTAAAGGCCTTTAAGAGAAGAGAAGACTCGACCTTGGGGTGAAAATAGCATCATTTCAGTTCTTACAACAAGTAATTTTTCTAAGCTCTTTGAACTCAGCTTTTGCAAAAATGGCAAAATTAACCCACATGGGAAAGAAAAGGCATCATACCTAACTGAACAAACCCAGGCTTTTCCATCACAGATAAAAATTATGCTGAAAATCGTTGCTGCTATTATGTAGTGGTAAAAACATTCAGTAATTTTTCAATTTCAGTTTTTATGTTTCTCAGAAGGAGAATGCAGGGGGTTTTTTTATTAAATCACAACGTATAAAACAGGATTACAGAAATGTCAATGAATTCTCTAAAGGAATACACTGAAATAAGCTGCCGTAAACAAAAGTGGGCCCCAGAATGTGCCCTGACAGGGGAAGAATGCAAGGACTGTAATTAGAGTTTAAGGTGTAGTAGGTTATACCCTGTTACATAAGAGCACGGAGACACTCCCTTATGGAGTGGGAATCAACTGTTAACTACTGAACAGGCACAGGGCAAGAGTGTCCCCACATCACGGAACTCACCCTCTACTCCAGAGTATCCATAAAAATACCATTATCAGGGAGCCAGGCTTATTGCATCAAAGATATCTAGATCAGATTTAGTGAATGTATAGATTTAAAAAAAAAAAAAAATATCAAGATTTTGTTTTCAATCCTGGCCATTCAGACTGGACCTTCAAAGTCACAGTGACAGTGACTAAATTAACAATTGGATTACTGATATACAAATTAAAAGAGATTCAAGTCACTTTCCTGCAGCTTGCTTTGTTTTGCTGAGGAATGAGGAGTAGGAATTGTTCCAGTCTCCTAAGCTGAATGCTGCGGCTGAATCCAGTCAGCAAGTGGATCTGCTGAATCAAAAGGTTGCGTATGTGTGATGCCAAAATCAGTTCTATTAAGAAGTGAGCAACGCTCTCGTTAGGTCTATGATTATTGTGTTTGATGCACTAAGACAGAATTAGCTTGAAGGCTGCTTTAAAAAAAAAAGAAAACAGAAATTTAAAATACCATTGTTAAAGATTTTTTTCTGCCAGGAAACTCCAGACAAATAGCAATGCTGCACAAAGAAATGCTGTGGCAAGAAACCTGTGATTCATTAGTGGAAGTTCCATGAGAAACGCCTCGCTGCTGTGCGGCGAACGCCAGCTGCACCCGACTGCTGGCAGCCCTGCCGGGCAGAGGCAGGCTGTTTCACAACAGCCGCTCAGAATGCCACCCAAAGCCGCCCCTGTCGCTGACAGTTCCCCTGTCACAGAACGTGAAGAGCAGATGGTGCTCCTGCACATTTTCCACCTGTGGAAGCGTATGTCCTCATTTTTGGCCACCTAACAAAAATCTGTTTTTCTTTCTACTAATTCTCTATGGAGAACTGGCAAAATTCAGACAAACATTAGATTTCCAGAAAGTAGATTTTGGGTGGGAAGATGTTGCAAAAAGGGAATATGGTCCACTCCCAACTTTTTGGGGCACCTCAGTACAGAAAGACAGTATGTTGTCAGGGGTTTAACAGATTTTGTGGTAGAACTGGATCAAGGTAGAACTTGGCTTACAAAAATGGACAGCTGCATTTTAAACATAATTTTCAATGGAGAAAAATGAAGAGGAAAATTATATTTAAAAGTGTCATGATTTCTAGAAGGCAAGTGTTTATCTTAACTAGGCACACTGAGTTCAAACTCCAATCATCCTACCTCAAAAAAGGCAAATCTGAAGTAGAGCAACCTGGAGATAGGTGAGGAGAATTACACGCAAAGAGTTACAAAAGACTACAGTTGTTTGATTTATGGAGGGATTGAGAAGAATATATGGTAGGAATAGCGAAAACACTAAGTGGGATAAAGAAATAGTAATGTAGGTAGTTGATAAACCATTTCTCCTTTTCATAACCTTTCTCTTCTGGTGCAGGAAAGAAGGCTGCATAAGCAAAACTGATTATATGTTTTTCTACTCTGTTGACAATTAGAGTATAATGACAAGATACCACAGAGAAACCAGCATGTATAAAAAAAGTAAAACATTCGTAATTAATCTCTGTTTTGAAACCCTGTCAGATGCATGAGGGTACCACCTCTGGCTCAGAGCACAGCCAGCCTCTCTTTGGCACCTCTCGAAGTGTCAAAGATGGCCACTGCAATGGTGGGATGATGGACTAGAGGGAACAGTGATTCCTCCTCTATGTCACCTCTTTCTTTCCCACCACAAATTTTATTTGAGAGAGCAGAAAATCAGAATCAGTGGAGAAATTTTAGAATCTGAGAAATTTTAGAATCTGACCATGGGACTCCCAGCAAAAACCTTCTTCAGCTCGCAAGAGAGATTTACGGGATTTGGTCTCGGTGCTTTAACAAGCAGCACAGACTCCCCGTGGGAGCAAGGGTTAGCTACTCACAGTCCAGAATGACTTGTGCCGCTCGGTAGAGCTGCAGTGCTTGCAGCAGGTCCAGGAGCTGCTGTACAGTCGCCAGCCTCACTCCCCACCACCACATCAGCTCTCTTGTTATGCTGATCCCTGTCTTCTCCATGCTCTTGATTTTCCGTAGCTCTGTTTGATCAGTGATCACGTAGGAAGCTAGTGGGAGACAATGGATGTTTCTGTTTAAATATTCGAAAAAACAAGAAAGTGCAAGCAGGGAAAACTAAGGTGTGAGACATACTTTGCTTTTTCATTTGCGCACTTTTAAAAGGAAGGATCACAATAAATTAGCTATGTGAACACAAAGAAAATTCAGTTCCTAAAGTAAGATATATTACTTTTATTCCTTCGAATATTCTGGGAAAAATGTTGTTATATCAGAGACCCAAAAAAGAAAACGCAGTCACACTTTTCAGTATATTTTCCCCATAATCTTCCTTCACTTCAATACTTTGTACCAAAATAAGTTCAGATTAAATTCCTGGTGTGATTCTCCCAAAATAGGTAGCAGAAGTCAGTGGTGAGAGTGCACTCCTGTCTACATTGCTAAATACCAATATTATGGTAAGCCAAATAGTGACTGAGTCACCTGGGTGTTACAGTCAGATAAACCTGTTGGGGAAATTGAGCTATTTTTAAGAGCAGGAGGTACCTTACACGATCTGTCCCGATTCCTGAATGCACTGGATTACGTGCTGGTTACCTGCTCTGTGCTCCTCTCAGCTCACTTACCAATACTTAACCCACCTCCCCTTAGTCAGCTCCTGCTAAACCGGGTGCACCTGGCCACAGCGTAGGTGCTGGAGTTACGGTGCCCTGGGCTGGAGGAGGGCGAGATAACAAGAAGGGTAAAACCACAAACATGTCTCAGAATGCCCGGTATTTGGGACAGGTTATGTCACAGCTGCCCCGTCCTCAGCAGCGGCTCTGCCCGCCCTGGGGTGCCTCTGCCTGCTGCGGGCTGAGGGACGAGGGCAGCCCCAGCATCCCACGCAGAGGGGCTGGGGAGCACAGCCAGGATGAGCTGTGCTGAAACAGCGGTTTGCGACATGCACATTACCCTGCCACTCCCTCCTGGGATTTTGTGTAGATTCAGCTGTGGTCTGTGGGGGCTGGTGGAGACACCCACAGAGGTGCTGCTCTGACTCAGCCCCTCTCAGCTGACCCACACCTGATGTGCTGCTTGGTTAGCCCGAAGGAGAGAGGCTTGGGAGCTGGGGGCAGGCGTGTGGTGGCTTTAGGAGGATATGAGATGTCCGGTTTTATCCATCTGAAGATAGCAGAGAGGATCCCACCCTAGGTCAGCAAGTTTAACTGGGGCAAGAGTTTACTCAGCAGAGTGAAGTCTTGAATGAAATGAAATCATGTTAAATGAAGGGAGGTAAGCAAACTAAGAAAAGTTTCAGGTTAGAATTGTTTGGACTGGGATACAGAAAAAAGAATAAAAACCTCAGGGGCTGCATTTTTATACTTATTAAAAGTAGCCAGGACACAGCCAGGACTGAGAAAAATAGGGGCTGCAAGTATGAGGGAATATACATGAAGTGAAGGAAGAAAGAAAAAAATGAAACATCTAAGCACATATGAGGGACGTTGTGAAAACAGGCAAGCAAGTAGCAGAAGGTAAAGCACGACCAGAAAGGGGAGTGCGAGAGAGAGCAAGGGGAGGGAGCCTGGCTGCCCAGGGGAAGCCAAGGGAACACGGAAGTCTGGAATTGCAGCTGTTTATCAGAGCTTTCGCTTGATCCTGAAAACACACTGGTGCACGGGAATTCCCTGGCTACAGGACGTTCTCTTCTGAGTGCTGGGGAACGACTCGGCCCTGTGTGGAGAAGGCTGCGTACCTCACCCGAACTCATGCCCTTCGACCACCCGTCCTAGAAGCACTCCTGCTCTGCGTGCCGCCATCGCCACCCCATCGGCCAGGGAGCGCCAGCCCTGCTGCCAGCCCACCTGCCCCGCCGTCCCCCTCTCACCGAATCGCATCCAGTCGTAGTCGCTCAGGCAGTCCATCTTCTGGCAGAAATCCTCCAGCACCCAGGCAGGCATGCGGTGTATGTACAGAGCCGGGGGGGAGCCCCCTTTCAGGGCGGGGGGTGGCTGCCGCAGGGTCATTGCTTCACAGTCCCTCTCCGCAGAGTCCTTTGTCCCCGCTGCGGCCATCAG